GAGAGAGAGAGAGAGAGAGAGAGAGAGAGAGGGGTGGGAAGTGATAAGAAAAGCTGGCCGCTCAAATTGTATGTGGTATTCAGCGCATGGCACAATCTGGAGAGGAAACATTTTACGCACCGAAATAATGGACATTCATTCTGGTTAAGAGCCAACGCTTAGTTTTAAAAAAATTAAATGACTGATATTGTTGCAGGAAAACATTAAATAAAATGTGGACAATCCCGAAGCCCAACTACAGGAGGGGTTTCTGCGCAGAGGGGGAGATTGCTGTAAACATCGGCGGAGTCCGGGTTGTGCCTTTCGGGGATGTTTTGAACCGCTACCCGGAGAGCAGACTGGCGGAGTTGGTGAACTGTTCAACTCAAAATCACGAAGTTATCTCCTCGCTGTGTGATGACTTCGATCCGAGTAGAAAGGAGTTCTACTTTGACCGAGACCCCGATGCATTCAAGTGCATCATCGACGTTTACTACTTCGATGAAATCCACATCAAAAACGGCATCTGCCCCATCTGCTTCATCAAGGAGATGGAGTTCTGGAAGATAGACCAAAGCGTTTTAGATGAGTGTTGTAAAAGTTACCTGAGTGAGAAGGAGGATGAGCTGACGGAGATTTCAAACAAGGTGAAGGTAATATTAGAGGATATGGAGGTGGACCAGTGCATTACGCGCGCCCAGCGGTGCCAGAGGTTCCTGTGGCGGCTGATGGAGAAGCCGGGTTCCTCGCTGGCGGCGTGCGTCATCGCCATCTCATCCTTCCTCTCCATCCTGGTGTCGGCGGTGGTGATGTGCATGGGAACCATCCCGGAGCTGCAGGTGATGGACTCCGAGGGGAAACTCGTGGAGCATCCGACATTTGAGGGGATAGAGACCGTGTGCATGCTGTGGTTCACGGCGGAGTACCTGCTGCGTCTCGCCTCCTCTCCGAACAAGCTGCACTTCGCACTCTCCTTCATGAACGTCATCGACTTCATGGCCATCATACCCTTCTACGTGGTCCTGTCCCTCACCTACCTCGGCACCACATCCATGATGGAGCTTGGGAACGTGCAGCAGGCTGTGCAGGCGCTCCGCATCATGCGTATCGCGCGCATTTTCAAGCTGGCGCGCCACTCCTCCGGACTGCAGACTCTGACCTACGCGCTGAAGCGGAGCCTCAAAGAGCTGGGGCTGCTCCTCATGTACATGAGCGTGGGGATCTTCGTGTTCTCTGCGCTGGCCTACACCATGGAGCAAAGCCACCCGGAGACTCTTTTCAAGAGCATCCCTCAGTCCTTTTGGTGGGCCATCATCACCATGACCACCGTGGGCTATGGAGACATCTACCCCAAGACCACGCTCGGCAAGTGCAATGCAGCCGTGAGCTTTCTGTGCGGGGTGATAGCCATCGCTCTGCCCATCCACCCCATCATTAATAACTTTGTGGTTTTCTATAATAAGCAGAAGGTGCTGGAGACCGCAGCAAAGCATGAGGTGGAGCTGATGGAGCTGAAGTCTGGCAGGGAGGCGCGCAGGAAAAGTAGGGATTAAGAGGAGACTGTGTGTGCACCAACAGTTTGAACAAGCTGAGACATTCTGGAACTTATTATTGTAAGAGCAAGTTAATATCCAAAGTAAACAGGGAGAATCATTGTCAAATTCACCAAATTTGAAACTTCTAAAGATAAAGTTCACCTGTAAAAATTGGAATGCAGACTTTGGGACCTGCGAACACAGTGTACATAGAGCCATGATAAAATAGCTGTATTGTTGTATTTACTCTGCTTCCGCTTTCATCTGGAAATATGAGATGTTCTGCTTCTGCCTCTGTTCCAGTTAACATGTCTTGTCATTGTGAAGACTGCTGTTATTATGGGAGTAAAACTTGTGCATGAGAAAAGAAATGTGCATATAAAGTCCTTACATACGAGAGTAAAGTAAAGAAACATTGATTTCAAGTATTTATAGGTAAATGATGGATGCATACACTTTTAGAGCTTTTCCAAAGCTACAGTATGTTGAGTAAAATGTTTAATTTGTGTTTACAGAAGCCTTTTCTTGTTGAGCCGCATAATAGAGGGTTAGGGGTAAAAAGAGAAACAGAATTTGAAAGATAACTTTCTGACTCGGATCACACAGGACTCATATTAGTTCAAAGCCGTGGATTTTGTCCCTCATCACTTACATTAGAGAGATGTGGAAAAAGGTGATTTCAGCAAAAGAAACCTATTTCACTGTTTATATGAACAACTAAAACTGAGCCATATGATGCAGCCCCCAGAAAAAAAGGCATGTAAATAAAAGAGATTAATGTCTTTAATCAGATTACTCCAGAATTGATTTGAGGGGAATGTTGCACTTTGATGAGTCGTATTGGGGCAGACAGAGAATGTGCATGCCACAAAAAAAAAATCAAGCTTGAAAATAAACAAAGACCATGACAACACATGTGCTTTCATTATATTTTTCTCAGCTTTATTTCAAGAGGAAACCTTTCTCACTTTTATGACCCTGGAGACATCTAACCCAGTGAAGACACTGCATCTCCCACTCCTCCAGTGATTCCAAATGATTTCTTTGAGGGGTGTGTAAATTGTAAGAAATTCTATTAGATGTATGACCAAGAACCGTGTGTGTGTGCGTGTGTGTGTTCTAATACTGATTTTGTGAGGACCAGCTTGAGTTACAGTCCTTATGGAGAGAGGATATTTACCTCACTTTTTGTGACACAGCTTCAATTGTTCATTCAAATTCATTAAATTGTTTGTTCATTAAAAATTGCTTTGAAACTTCAGGATAGATTATTGTTAGAGCTGAGGTTGAGTTTAACAGTTCAAATGTAGATATTGTTAAATTAAATAGCCACTTAGTGTGCTTTTCCTTATTTTTATGAGAATTACCTTGATTATAGACTGATGACATGCATTAGCTTAGTTAGGGTTCTCCGCCAGATAAATACAATGGATTTCCATTATGCTCTATATTTGTGGTTGGGAAGCTAAGCTAAATAATCCATCTGGGTTCGCCTGGAGTTTTACAAACGTTTGTCAGACAGACAGATACAACTGTCTGGGGTCAAATTGACTCCAAACATAATGAATATACTGTAATGAATAAAATATTGTTGGCCTAACATTTTGGAACCTTGGACAACATAGAGAATATCTCTTATGTATGTTTTCCATCTTGTCCTATAGTTCTACGTCATGTCTTTGTCTGGGCATGTCAGTGACACATTTGTTTAATATTCTCTTTTATATATTTTGTCACCTCAATCAAATTTCCACAGTGCTGCACAGTTCAGTGCTTGCAAGAAAATGAAAATTTATATTCAAAGATAAAGAAAATGGTTTTGTAATAATTATTTCTAAACATGCAGCATCGTTGGTACTCAACCATATAATTGGAATTATGAATTGGTCGAGGTGTGTGTATGTGTGTTTGTACACATTTTCATGTATATACCTGCATGTTGCCGTATGAGTTTTAGTTTTCTCCGGGCCTGTGAATCATGTGTGTGACACGATCCGAGTCGGTGGTCTGTGAGAAGTGGAGCTGTGCCCCTTTGGGAAAACACTTCAAAGTGAGGCTATGTGCACACCCACACGCTGAACACTCAGAAAACACTGGCTCCCCCACCTCCATCCCACCCGCTGTTCCTACTCCTCTCAATTCTCACTCCCTCGCCTCTTCTCCCCCTCCTTGGCCCCCCTAGTCTCAGATGATGATCTGTCAGCTGAGAGAGCAGCAATCAGACGCAGCGACATGTAAAGCGTTGGTGCTGTCATTTTTTTTTTAAGGGTGTGTCGTGATGCAAAACTTCACATATAAATATTCAAATGTGAAAACTGTGTTAGCACCCTGAAAAGAAAAAGGGAAGAGAGACGGA